CACACACACACACACACACACACAGCTCAGATAAAAACACTGTACACCCCTGAGAACACACACACAGACAGACACACACTCACATCTGCGGGTGTATCTCGGAGACGATGCAGATGCAGTTGTCGTGGGAGACGGTGAAGTCGTGGTACAGCACCCAGCTGGGCGGACTGAGCTGCGGCCGCCGGCAGCGGTACGAGGAGAACGGGTGCAGCTGAGACACGTGACGGTGTGTGAGCAGGAGATAGTTCCCTGAGCCGTCCACATCATGTGCCACCTGTACACACACACACACACATTCACAAACACAAATGTGAGCGTGCGCATGCATATGCATAGACACAAACACACACACACACACACACGAATATGAGCGTACACATACATATACACACAGACACACACATACCAATATGAGTGCACACATGCATGTACACACACAAACACACGCATACACACACATTAATATGAGCACACACATACATATGCACGCGCACCTATAAATTCACACACATATGCATGTAGACACAAACATGCACACACATATTAATATGAGCACATACACATTCACACACACGAATATGAGAACACATACATATGTGCACACACACATGATTACGTGCACACACACAGACCCATACATTCACACACATCAATATGAACACACACATACATGTTTGCACACATGCGCGCACACACACACACACACTATATAAATAAATAAATGAATGTATTAAACGTGTGTGTGTGTGTGTGTATACATGTATGTGTATACATGCGTGCGCGTGTGTGTTAATATGCGTGTGCACATTAATGTGTGTGTGTACGGTCTATATACATGTGTTTGTGTGCATATACTGTATGTGTGTGTATTGTGTACTTATGTATGTGCGCGCATCTGTCTATGTGCATATATGTGTGCAGTTATGTGTGTTTGTGTGTGTGTGTGTGTGTGTGTGTGTTATATAAGTGCACATTTATGTGTGTGTGTGTGTGTGTGTGTGTGTTTACCTTGAGGAAGAAGCCTGATATCAGCGCTCTCTTTATATTAGTGCTGTTGTCTTGGCAACCGAAGGCGGGAGGAGAGACCGGCAACTCGATTCGCTGCATCACCTCCAGTAGCTCCGCCCTGATTACCACAGCCAATCGCAGCGCAGAGGAGCTCAGGAAGTTGGTCCTGCACCAGGCCTCGTCTTCATTATCTGAGACACACACATCATGGTTTGACATGAAGAAGAGTATGTGTGTGTGTGTGTGTGTGTGTTTGTGTGTGGTGTGTGTGTGTGTCTCATCACTCACGCTGAAGATAGGCGTTGTAGATGTTGATGAGGGTCATGTGATCACCATCCGGGTGCAGCATGGTCCGTCTGTGTGTCGCGGCTGCTTCTACCTTATCAGCTGGAGGAGTCACGAAGCACGGCGGAGCTGAAACAGCACACACACACACACACACACACACACACACACACAGAAACACACACACACACACACACACACACACACACACACACACACACACACACACACACACTATATATATATAAATAAATAAATGACTATATTAAACGTGTGTGTGTGTGTGTGTGTGTGTGTGTGCGCAGGAGTGTGTTTCCGGCTGTACTCTCAGCTGGTGTATGATCAGCA